AAAAATACAGTTTTTTAAGACCGTCGTTTTCACTGATTGTGGTTGCCCCGGATGCTCGCTCCGGAGAATATATATACTGGTATAATAGATGGAACAGTAGATACATTGATGGGAGAGACTGGAACACTATTTGATGGCAAAAACAAGTTGTGTTACAAGTTTTATGTTTTAATTTGTTGCTTGAATATTCACTATGTTAGTTAGTTTATCAAGATACTAAAACAAGGTATTTATTGGCTATAGTAAAAAAAAAACATCCATCTGTCACAGCATGCCATAATTTTGCGATATTGCACTGGGTATTTTTATGCTACCATATTAGAAAATGTGAAATCCAAATATGGAATGATTATACGCGTAAGCATCCTCTAATAATAAAAACAAACATGGCACCCTCCAGGGTTTGACTGGCCCCCCCACTCAAAGAAGTTTGCTAAAAATCTGTCATAAATTTGTTGGATCTCGGCATTCTCATGATATAACATTGGGAGGAAAAGATGTATAATGATAAGGTTATAATGAGGATACCGCAAAGTATGCACTCAGGCAGTACATGGTCGCATCAACCTCCACTGTGCGTCAGTCAATACTCCAGGTGTACTGTCTTCAGGAATACTTTGCGATATCTTCGTATATCATATTAGCTGATGTAGCTAAAACTATTTTACCATGATAATATTTAGCAATTTTTAGAAGTCCAGCTACATGTGTACTGGATGACAGATTCAGCCACAATAGAACTCAAATCATCAAACACAGGATGTCTGATTACACCACTCTTTACAACTTTTACCATTGGTAACTTGTTTAAATGTGGTCACTACTTTCTTGGAAATGACAGGTTAACACTCTTGCTAATTTCTATTTCAGTCATTATTATCTATTGGTAATTTTGATGACAATTTATCTGATGTGATGAATGTTGTTTTTGCAGGAGTTAATGTAAGTACATGATTATTGTCAATTTTACTTTGTGATTATGTTAATTTATTACCGCTGTATGTTAGAGCTATTTTTATGCCATATACCGGATTCTGCCGTAAATTCGCCCAGGGCAGTTCGGGTTTTTTAAAAAAAAAATTGGGACCAAGAAACCGCCCAGGGCGATTTTTCGGCAGTTTTTTTAAGGTGTTATTTCAATCTTTTCTGATGCCTAAAAGTTTCGCCGTAGTCATTGACAAGAGTATTGATGTTTATTGCGACAAGCGTGAATGTTAAATTATTCTTCAAATGTTCAGTTTATCTTTTGAAAACAACTAATTTTTTTATTTAAAATCAAATCATGCCATTTTTCCGTCAAAATCCAAGCCAAAAGATCGTACAACAACATTGACAAATCTCTTTCATGCTGCGTTCAATAACATTAACATATTTAAATGAGCTATGGTATTTTGAACACGTTGGCATCATCCATCGTTTTCATTGGTTAATTATCGATTAATTGACCTGTCAGGTCAAAGAACACAGTCTCAGGTCAAACATGCGATCGGAATCATTCGCTTACGATGAAATAATTAAGTTGAAATTTATTTGCATTTCATAACAATTCAATGAATTTATTTTTTGCACGTTATTATAATCATTACTAGGTATTATATTATAGCATTATCAATACCAGTGGATTTTATGATGTCATTGCAGCAGATTATTCGCAATAATGTATTACATTATTGAGCATCAAGGCCCTGTCCCATGGATATGAATACAATGTTGATTTCGAAAACAATAAAGAAGAAACTATTGAAAATGAAGAAATATTGTTAGATAACAAATATTTAATACCACAATCGACATCAAATAAAATGGTCCATAACCAATAACAGCAGATTTCAATATCGAAATCAGTCAATATTCTGAAGGCATCGTCGTCGCCTTATCGTGTTGATGAAGTGAGGTTAACTGAGGATAATTTATCCAAGCAAATGCGATAAACGAAATGGGGGTACAATGTATGTCTACGAGTACAGAGAGATGAATTTGTTCTGTTTTTGTACTACAAAATTTGCGAAACGAGATTGACGAAAGACCGTCGTGACTCTTATTTCCTCGGTGTCGACTCCCGGTAAATGTAACAGTTCGGGCACAGTTTGTATAAATAAATGAAAGTATCCGTGTTCCCAGGTGTGTATCTGTTTATTTATACAGTGAGATTAAAATCACTGTTGGTTCTCCTTCTAGGATGGCTAACACCCACTGGCCCTCCGGTCATGTTCATTCGCCCGCTACGCTATGTTTGGCTTCATAGTATTCGTCAAATCCCCGCCCTCCCGTGAAATTTAAAATAATTATTACACAGAAAGAACAGTTGCCAATAATATCTACCTTGATTGTTTGAAAAAACTCGTGGGATGGTGTAATGATGCAACTATGTACATGTGCCCGGGTACGCGTCCCTACGCACAGTCGATCCAGCTGGACCACGGCGGCGATCTAGCGTAGTGTAGTGCAAGCAGCGGTGGACACCGATACGGCGTACCAGTCCCCGGTACCAGTCACGGTGTGTCGTTCGCTCGGGCTATCACTGTAATGCTACTCCACATCACACATCAGTCACTCATTCACTCGCAATGTAAATGAGTTCAATACAATTATATTTGATGGATTAAAACTAGTTTCTTCCTTAGTTTGCCATATGAGATTGTGGAAACAATTTCCAGAAAGACATTTTAAATTATTCAGATTCACGGGGCAGTGACTTTGAAACTATTCCGTTCACTGTAGATTTTTCTCCAAATTTTTTCGCTTTTTAGAGGCAGCAAATCCACTGGTAATGCCAACGCTACAAAATAATAACAATAATGAACTTCCTGACAACCCATAATGGACTCAAGCACACTTTGTGCTCCATATATGTACTCGGCTAACGCCTCGTACATATATGTCGCACAAAGTGAGCTTTCGCCCATTATGGGTTGGCAGGTCGTTCATTATTGTTTAAATAATCCACAATTGTAAAACGCAGCATGACCGGATTGCGATACCGCGATCATTTGCTACTAAGCAATGCAGTTGCAGTCTGTTTTTATTTGAAACGTCTTTTACTAATAAAATGAAACAATATAATTGTATTTGGTGCACGAGGTTCGAATGATTCAGTGAAAATGAAATCCAATGAATATACCTTTTTAGCTCCGCTGTCGACTTTGTCGAGTGGAGCTTATCATATGAGTGATTGTCCGTCGTCGTCGTTTACTTTTTCGCCTTCTTCTTGAAAACTACAAGCCTGAATGCTTTGATACTTGGTGTATATGTACTTTGGGTAGACCTCTCTCAGATTTGTTCATTTCATGATCATATCTTCAATTCTCTAATTTTGGTGAATATTTTTTGTCATTTTTGGTAAAAAGTGATATTTTCGACTTCTTGTTAAAAAACGCAAGTCCAATTGCTTTGATATTACATATATAGGTACTACATGTGGACCACTCTCAAATTTGTTTATTTCATGATGATATCTTCAATTCTCTAATTTTGATGAATATTTTTGTCATTTTTGGTAAAAAGTGATATTTTCGTCTTCTTGTTAAAAACCACAATCATTTATGGTGAAAAATGATATTTTTGAATTCTAGTTGAAAACAGCAAGTCCCATAGCATTGATACTATACATATTGTTCATTTTCTAATGATATCTTCTGTTCTTTAATTGAAATGTGCATTGCTTACAGCGGAGCTATCTCAGCCGAGAGGCTGCTTGTTTCCTATAATTTTACCTTCAACTCGTCAAAAATCAGTGAAAATAAATTCCATACAAAACACCCAAAAGTCTTTTTAGCAAAAATAATGTATTTTACAGTTATCAAAATGTAGCCAAATGTGACTACCCCTGTACATTTATTACTATGAGCTTATATCAGAAATTTTCTTCTAAAAGGAGAAATCAAGCTAATAAGTGTGTATGTATGTATCTACAGGTGGGGGGGGGGGGGGTATATTTGTGTATGACAGTTACATGTAAATAAGATATAATAATAAGAAATGCTTACACATGTATTACCATTTCTTTTATTGGTTTGTTGAACTTTGTTATTACAGTTAAATGTCACTAATGCAAGTGGAAAAACTGGTAAGTGGAATAACTCTGTTTTCATTGATAATCTCATTTTGTACAGTCTCTTATTAGCACTAGAAATAATATTTGTTTAGGTGATAAATCATAGACTTCCTCTCTCTAGAGTCTATAGTTGAATAGATGATTTTCCATTCACTTGAAGAGCTTGTCTAATATGTGAAAGAAATGAACATCTGCTGCGAAAATCGATTGATTTGATTTTGAAATTGAATTGAATGTCAAAATAGCATGCTTTCAGATTGGTCATCACTGAGATACATTTACTCTTACTTGATTTACACGTATACTTGACTGTTTGTGCATAAAAAAAACATATTGCAAATATAGCAAAATGACTTGCAACTTTGCAAAACACTTTGGTCTTTGCCCAATCTAGACTTGTCGGTGCCACTTGAGTGACGGACGCGGGGTTGTCGGTTTGGTGAATTGCAAGTATTACCTAGCGTGCTTTACAGCAACCATTCTTTATTTTTTTATAATTATATTGTAATTATTTTCAGTAATTTTTAAAATCACAAGTTGGGTGTTGCTAGATCTGTCATAAAATGTCAACCCCTCGCTCATTTTAGTCAGTTACAAAAATGGACTAGACATAATAATAATACCCCGTCATTTTCAAACTGCAGTTGAAAAAGTGATTCGATCAAGGAAGGCACTTCTGATTTGACAAAGTCCATCAAACCGTTATAATCAAGTATTCCACCTTGGTATAAAATCTGAATTTGATACATAATGCACCAGTAATGTAAAAACAACTTTTAGTTTGGCCCAAAACTGTCGTGAAACTGCAGAGGCTCCCGCTAAGAATCTTTAATTTGAGCCTTCTCGCCAACGACGAGTTCATTAATACCTGGGGTTACTCAACACTCTGGAGTTGTTTTGTAAATTACGCTATGTCAGGTGGACTCAGATGGTTATCAAAATTTAAAATAACACTTTGAATGCATATACAACATATAACCTGTTAATATATGGTAACCAACGCGTGTCGTTTTGAAAACAGCGTTTTACCCGCATCTTGCAAGATAATGGAATGATTCCAATTGTGGGCGTGCCAATACAACATCGCCATCAAGTCTAGATTAGAAAAGACCCAAGTGTTTTGCAAAGTTCCAAGATATATTGCTAACTGACTGTCCGAATAATTCTTAGAACGGCTGTAACTGATATTTGAGTGCATATATTGTATTCACTGACCTTTATTTTGTACTCACATTTTTTGCCAATTTCAGCAATAAGAATCAAATGGAGTGAGGATTTGCATTTCAAAAGCAAATTTCAGATACAGTATATATAATTATCATAAATGAGGGCTTTTATTTTTATTTTTGATGGAAACCTAAATTTTATAAAAAAAAATAACCACATTTTTACTTGATCTGTTCGATAAAAAAAAGCATTAATATTTTTTCTTGGTCTTAAAGAATAAATATGGATGATTTAATTTTAATTTTTAATATCTTTGTTTGATACTGCATGTTTTTTTAATTTATCACAAACTAAAAACATAGTTTTTGATGCTCATACACTTGAGAATTCATGCAATGAAAAAATTAAACTATGAGATCCCGCAAGTTGCGTGAAAGACATATGCCAAACATCTGCCGCAAAAATCAAAATATTTGATTTTGAACTCAATTAACTTTTATTTGTAGCTAAATCGAAGGGCCGATCTTTGACAGGGGAATATTGCGTTTGAATACCATTACTTCATCAAAATTGACCACCATCAAATGTGTATTACTGGTAGGCACGTTATTAAGCATGGAAATATCCCCCAAAATACTTTTGCATTTGTCGAATCCCATGCAATGTTTGTCACCACTACGACGCTATGACCTTGTTTGTCCTGTTTTCACGTTTGATTTCATGCATAACGCGGTATCTCGCAGTGAACAGAAAATAGCCCATTGTTTTGGTATAATAATCACGCACACATAATAGTTGTTTTTATTTGTCATCCAATCAATACTATACAGTGTACTTCAAAGGCAAAATAAATATCAAACAACAACAACAACAAATTAAAAAAGAGAATTAAAAAATACATGCATTACGCATTACATATTATTGATGGCTTTTTAATTTTATAGTGATAGTTTCTCTTCTTTATGAATCAAGTGCAACCTTCAATAGTAGTTAAAATGCTGTGAGTCAGGTTGTTTGTTCTTTTACTGTCAGTTGGTTTTATCATTGACTATCCTGTAAAATAGTTACATTGGAATTGATGTGTGGTTAACCCTATGAACATCATTATTTTTCCTGCCATCCTTTTGAAGCCAAAAATTGCAGAGTTGTATTTTGGTCTGTAATTTCACTACAAGGTAAAAACATATTTTGTATTTTGTCAAACCAACTGTACATGTCAAGTGTTTGTGGTAAACATGTGCAATGGCTTGGTACACAGTGGGATTGGCACTCATAGAATTTCTTTGTTTAGTAGATTTCCAACTTGTCTATTCTCAAAGTAATCTTAACACATTGTCATGAGATTGTCCTCATGCTACAATTATTCTGGAGTAGGAATGTTTGCAAAATAGAACACACATTTGCATTTTCTAAAAAACAATTCTGGTAATGAACTGAAGACTAAATTTGAAGAAAAGAAAATGTACACTTGCTCTACCTGTTTACTTAAACTCGGCACTTTGATGGTGAGTTTATTCTGTAAAATACCTAGGGTGAAATTGTTTTTATATGTTAAAGCTGTTTGAAGGGAAAAGTTATTGGTATAGTTTTTCAACCCCCGCCACCCGCCCCCGCCCGCCAAGTTTCTCTTTGTAAACCCTTTAGTCATCAAAACTTGTTTTGCTAATTTTTTGTAATTTACTTTAATTATTTGCATCTGCAAAATTATTACCTTTATAATCATAATCATTTGGGAATTAAAATCATGGGATTGATAAAAAATTGACAATAATTTTGGATGCAAAGGTTTTTATTAAATTTTTATCAAACTTGGACATGTTAGTGCTCCAATTTAGCATCAGAGTTCAATTTCAATGTATTTGTTGCTTTAATACCTCTGCATCTGTTATGAGGTCATGTCTGTACTTTGGACTTTGTGATAGATGAGCTGTCTACACTGTGGTCTAAAATTTCAACCTTTGCAAATACGTGGGTTGTGAATTGTACTACATCTTACTATGCAGGACAATATTGACATAACACTGTCTGCTGACACCATTTTGTCCCATTCATTTTTGCTATCCATAGAGACCTTCAGGAGCTGGTGAATTTCAGAATTTTTTATTCACATGGTCAGGACAATGGGTCAGATGACCAAAAGTAAACATACATTGTGATATATAAAACCCTTGAACTCGTATTATTTTTTTTATTTCTATAGCCTATGAAGTTGCTAAGGAAACAAATCAACCATTGACAATGGTGAGTAAAACTTGTTACTTTCACTGTCAATTATGGTGACATGACTTTCATGTTTATTAAGTTTTAAAAACATCAAAGTTCATATAAAATTTTAAAAATCATTAATGCCTGTGATTGTTTTTTGCATACAAACAAGTCTATCAACTACAGAAAGGCATTTTATATAAGGTAGACAAACATTTTGGACCCAGACATATTGGACTGTACACTTAAGCCACTGCTTTTTTCAAATACAGATGTTTGAGCCATTGGTGTTTAGTGTGTTTTTAAAATATGTTTTAATTAATTTAATTCACCATATGAGACGTTTTTTAAACATTATGCATATGTGTTCGTCTAATTAATTTCACGATTGTTAACTTTATAGTTATTTATTATAACTATGTTTGTGGCTGTCAAGGATGTGATGCACTTTCAGACATGTACATTGTATTTAGTATTTAGTATTTTTTACATACAGTTTCAAAACATATTACAACCAAAATATGAGAATATGTGTTTTAATAGGTGTCTTTCTATTATTTGTGAGATCTCGTGTATTTCATGAAAGGTGAAAACTGAACGTCTGCCAGAAAATCAAACATTTCAATTTCTGTTTTTATAGTTCAACGTTGAAATACTACTCTTTGAGAGGGAAATATAGCATTGATATACCCTTACCCTCCAAAATGATGTTGTTTTCTATATGAAGTGTTAGTCTTGCTGATATTCTTGTTCCGATCAGTAAATCCAGGTTGAATTAATAAATTGTTGTCATAGCAATGCATATAAATGCGGTTTTTTTTGTGTGTTTTTTTCAGGAATTTCTGTCACTGAACATTGGTTGTGAGTATATATTAAATAAAGTGAAATATATTCTAATTATGGTTAATAACAGTGGAGGGGCATCAGATTCTATGCAAAGTTAAAGGACGGTGGTCGTCACACAGCACATGTTCAATGTTCATGTGAAAAAAACATGTATTTTACTGCATTGCATATGTCACTATGAGTCTCATATCAAGCAGGATGTTGTGCGACGACCACCACCCTTTAATATTAATAATGGCTATGTGATGTCATTCATTCAACTTAGCAAGTTATCCAATGATATGGTACTTTGCATATTGCAGGTAACCAACCAGCAAGCATTACTGATAGAAGACAATTACCATCTTTGCCACCAATTCAGATACCCAATGTATCACCTCAGAATACACAAGACGATTACAAAGGGTACTTGTATAAGACCAGTACAAATAGAAAAGGTGAGATGTCCTGCCTCCTACATGTATGTCTGTTGTCTATATGTATATACCATACTCAACCGTGTTAGCTTCCAGTGACCTCAACTCAAAAAATGGTGACATTTTTATATGGTGTTCTTTGACCTATTGGGTCAAGTCGGTTATTAACTAATCAGAATGCTGTGTTGTACCAACTCAATTCTTGGGAAATTCCCCAAGACTTTCTGGTATCGCAATGCGGAAATGAATTATCAAATGAATGTCGAAGTATGATCTAATAGAATTAATTTCTGTGAATAAATGGCATGATTTTTTTCAAAAACTGGTAACTAACAATTTTTGATAAGTAAACTGCTTATGGCATGAAGTATTTACTACATTTCCTTTTTATTAGCAGGTCATTGTCGTAGCATTGTCTATGCATCCACAACATATTCATGCCAGTGAATATCCACACTGTATCATGTAAAAATGATTACCAGTATTTCAAAAAGCTAAATAATGATCTAAGACCTATGATTAGAAAGTCAAATTAGGGTCATTTTTAAGGGAATGGGTGCTTATCTAAATGTGAACCCGAGAATAGAAATGTCTCAAAAGTGGGTGGGGGGTGGGTGCTAATCGGTCGAGTATGGTATGTCTGTGTGTCTGTATAACCATTTGTTCCCTTTTATGTATAACTGTTTTTCTTGTGAACATATGTCTGTTTAACTTACATATGCCTGTATTCTGCCTTTCTCAAATCCAGGTTTTTTGTGGTTACTAAAATGTTTCACATGTATGATGTAAGCACCGGGGAACACATTCCTATCAACTGATACTGTGATATACTCTTGTTTTCAGATTTTCAGAAAAGATGGTGTACCTTTAGTAATTCTGTATTTACATATCATGTAGATGATAAGGTAGGCCAGAAAAGAATGCCTTGTAGGCTTGTTACAATGTATATATTGTATTGCGAAGAACTTCTGGTTTCAGATGTCACCCTGTCTGTGAATTACTGTAAAATACTTTATTTTAGCTGGAATTTATTTTCTTGAAAAATACTTTTTCACTGGATTTTGATAAGTTAAATATAAAATATAGGAAAAAAGGTATATTCGCTGGATTTTATTTTCACTGAATCATACCTTAAGCGAAAATAGTGAAAATTAATTCCAAGTGAAAATAATGTATTTTACAGTATGACAAATCAGATATTTTTTAATCAAAAACATGATATTGTATACATGTCAATTTGAAATTGCTGTTTCTGAACAATACTCCCAAAATAAGAGTGCTGGAACAAGTGCAAATACGTTTCAAATGAACAGCTTTTTATGGAATGCTATGATACGGTATGAGGTATGATATGGATACCAAGTGCAATACGGCAAAATTATAGCATGCCAAGACTTGTAATGCTACAGTAACACTGGTTGAATAATATGAGGTTATTATGAAGATACATGTACCTCAAAGTATGCACAAAGAGGGTACAGCGGGAGTATCGACCAAGGCACATCAGAGGTTGACACAACGGCATACTGTCTGAGTGCATACTTAGCATTATCCTCGTAATAACCTTATTATTCTACATCTTTTCCTCTTAATGATACATCATCGGTATGCCAAAATCGAAAATGTTTAGAACAGAATCAGCAAACTTCTTTGTGTGGAGTCCGGTCAAACCCTGGTGGCAGCCATGTTTGTTTTTATTATTGAGAACGTTTACAATATAATATGGTACGATGAAAATACCCGATATATGTGTGTTTAATATATTATGTTAAACAGTAGTATTTATGACACAAATCTCGCCAGATTCTCCCGCGACTTTTTGTTCACGTGACTTCGTAGTTCATTGTTGTTTTCTTCCTGGTGCCATTTTAAAGTCAATTTCTTCGTTGTTGTTACCTAAATAAGTATTTTATTCTTTGATATTTCACTACAAACTCTTCCTCATGAACTCACCATGCAACGTAACATCGTAACTACTCGAAGCAGAGGCAGGAAACGTAAGGCATTCATCGTCTCAACTGCAAGTTTGCCTACGGAGGCAGTTGATAACGGTACAAGCAGTCAGCCTTCTACAAGTACGCGATCTCAAGGACTTGATTCAGACAACCCTGCAAATTGGACTGCGTTTCCCCTGCGTGACAAGCTTTCGCAACATGGGAAATTGCAGATTTACGACAAACTGTGGTTAATTTAAGTAAAAATATCCCAAGTCAACACGTTGTAAACAACATCGAAGAAAACAACATGGTGTAAGTAAATTCCTCTTGTACCATATCGCACGACAAGCCTACAGCCAGTGAATCGTCAGCAGTGCATCAAACCATATATGGACATGAAACTGGCCTTTCGAATGAGAGAGCACGTTTTGGGGTGGCATGACACAATCTGCCAAAAATAGTTACCGTGGCACCTTCAGTACGAAAGAACATATTAGAAACATATAAACCTGGCTACCTTGTTAATTCCAGCTCACGAAATTGCAGAGAGTCGCTCCATCATGGACTTATCTGGCAATGAGATTAGAATCAAGGGTAATTCTGATGCTCGTTTGAATAAATCGTTGACTCTGAGTGAATTTTTAATTGCTTTTGGAAAATACAAATCCATCATCTGTGAAGTTTATCCAGGTAGACAAGAGGAATTGGACTTGTATGAGACAGACGTAATTGATATATCCAATAGTTTTGGTGGTGGGTTGTTTTATGACTACCACATTCAATTTGCTACCAAAGCAGCTGCTTACCTCCAGTATAGAAATATTAAAGTGGATTGGTCTGTCAGAGATAATGACATTTTTATTAGCATTACTGCAGGTCGCAAAGCCATATCGTGTACTATCTGCAATAGTACACTACATTTTTCTGATTTCTGTCCACGTAAACAGTTCAGCCCACCCCAACAACGTAGCAGTATGTAAACAGACAACAATGATGTGAGAGGGAGGCCTCGGATATTTGTGTATGGAAAAGAGATATGCAATAACTTTAATGTAGAGAAGGGATGTACCCGGGTTTCCTGTCCTTTCCTTCATGTGTGCTCCTCTTGCAAAACCAATCATCCTCTTGGTAAATGCTCCAAATTGCAACCGACACCAGTGACTACCAGAGACTGCAAGTACACCCCGTAATGTGGACATTTTAGAACAGGATTTAGCTAATCATCCAGACAAATCATTTATTTTCCAGTTGTGTACTGGGCTTAGGGAAGGTTTCTTTACAGGCATAGACATTGTACCTAGCATTTCTTATGAGTGTAATAACTATTTGTGAGCCAGACAGAATCCTGATATTGTTAGTAAGCTTATACAAGTAGAATTAGATCGGGGTTACATCATAGGTCCCTTTTCTACCCCACCTTTTCCTGTGTATCGTATTAGCCCACTGGGCATAGCAATAGGCAAATATTCAGGGATAAAGAGACTAATAGTTGACTTGTCTGCACCTCACAACAATCAAAATGTTACCAGTTTCAATGAGCTTATTGACAAAGACTTGTATTCTTTATCCTATATAACTGTGGATAATGCTATCAAGGAACTCAAACAAGCAGGCAACAGTTCTTTTATGTGCAAATTTGACATCATGGATGCGTTTAAACAAATCCCTTTGCACCTTTCCATCTGGTGTCTGCATGGTATCAAGTGGCAAGGGTTGTATTATTTCTTTGTCAGATTAGTTTTTGGCAGCAGGTTAAGCCCAAAAATGTTTGACCCACTGTCAAGAGCGATATGTTGGGTTGCTCAATTTAAGTATGGGGTTAAATTTATTTTGCATTTGTTAGATGATTTCTTAACAATTGACAGCTCAGATCTGTGACTAAACGTGAATTGCTGTCATTATTAGGACACCTCAATTTTGCAGCTAGAGTAGTCTTGCCAGGCAGGTCATTCATTTCCTATTTGTTACAGCTAGCAGCTTCTGTGTCAAAACTTCATCACCATGTTTCCTTGAATGCAGATTGCTGTATGGAACTTGCCATGTGGAGAGATTTCCTTGACAATTGGAATGGTTTGCATTTCTTTCTCCACAGCAACATTATCAAGTCTTCTGACTTGGACCTTTATACTAATTCTTCACCAGTGTTTGGTTTTGGGGGTTATTTTCAAGGCCAATGGTTCAGTGAGCCATGGCCAACAGATTGTGATTTTGGTGCAGATCTGTATTCTACAGCACTAATTGAGTTACACCCTATTGTTGTGGCAGCTATGCTTTGGGGTAGCCAGTGGTTGTAACGTCGTATTATTTTTAACTGCGACAACCTAGCAACTGTTCACATCATTCAGAAGGGCAGAGCTTCATCTAAGTGTTGGGTTATTAATAAGTTGATGCGGCGTTTAACTTCCACAGCTATGTATTTTAACTTTGTTTCTCTCGCACAGCATGTCCCAGGTGTTCACAATGGCATTGCCGACTCATTCTTACATTTTCAATTTCAGAGATTTCGCACCCTGGCACCAGCAGCTCATTAATCCAAGACTCAGTGTCCATCATTCAGCACTGTAACCAACATCTAGCTAATAGTTTTCAGACTATTTGGACTTAGGCTATGTCAAGCAAAACTAGACAAGTCTATAACAGTGGTTACTCACAGTTTTGTAGATATTTGACTATACACAATGTACCCATTTCAGGAACTAGACTGCCACCAGTATCAGAAGAATTGCTTCTTCTGTTTGACACTTTCTGCTCTCATAATTTACAGCTCAGTGGTGCTACTATTCAATTGTATTTAGCAGGGATTTGATTCCACTTCATAGAGTCAGGGCTTCCAAACCCACTGTAAGCACCCAATGGTAGTCTTTTGGAAAGTTTAAACTTATTACTGCAAGCAATAAAGCGGTTTCAGGGCCAGAATTGTAGGATTAGACTTTCTATCACTGCAGACATTTTAGCCCAATTAACCTCAGCCTTACATGGTAGGATTTTCACTCCATACACTGATGCTCTTTTAATGGCTGTCGTGTTAGTTGCCTTCTTTGGTTTTTTGAGGTGTGGGGAATTTGCCATAGACTCCACACACTTTGATCACAATATTCATTTATGCACGGGGGATATAACTTTTCAAAATTCAGACCAGGTTCTTGTGCATTTGAAAGCCTCAAAGACCCCTTTCGAAAGGGAACAATTCTCACTCTCTGTAGCAATAACAGGTTCTGTCCAGTAACAGCACTAAAGCGTAATCTTAAGATACGTAAGCTTAGAAATCCCCAGGTCAAACCATGGGATGCATTGTTCGTCTTCGAGGACGGCCAGTCACTGAGTCGATCACACTTTCTGTCATGTTTCAGGTCTTTACTTACAGCTATTGGTGCTGACGCCAGCACATTTTCAGGTCACTCTTTTAGGATTGACACTGCAACTACAGCAGCACGAGTGGGGGTACAGGATCAATTAATCTGAAATTTGGGTCGGTGGAATTCCGACTGTTACAGTCGTTACATTCATGTAGCAGGACACTACGTGCTGCCCAGACAGCCATGACCACTGACACATACAGGTCAGGCACAGTTTAGGTTATCCTAGTTGCCTAGCTGTTATTTGTTTTCTCTTCAGATTTCATTTACATGGTTCTCATACACCCACCTCAACTATCTTGGGGGGTTATTCTGTAATTATCATTACATCATCATTCTGGGGACTTCGCCATAGTTTCATGGGGCTCATATCTCCCCAAGATAATATTTTTACTTAGTTATACTGTTATCTATAGTTGTACTTTTATCTAGATAGAGATTTATGTATTTTATTAATACCTCATTAACCATCCATTTGCAGCCATGCTGCTTCAAACAGCTAACCTCGGTAGTTCACAGCCACGCTGCATCTACCATACCTACTAACTTCTTGCAGCCAACGCTGCTCCTCCACTGTATAGCCGCAGTCTTCGCTGCCTATACCTCAAATTGCAGTCACGCTGCAATCTCTCATTACACTACAGACTCAGTGGCTTAAGCTTCAATACAGACACAGTTTTTTGAGTTGTGTATTATTTCAGATTTCTTGCGTTCACATGCCGGGGGCTCATGACATGTCCATTCTGATATATTTCTTGTAAGCCAATGGATTTCGTTGTGTGCCCCCCTGTTTTGCGTTTGTGTCATAAAGTCCACAAAGTTATGGCATGCTGTAACTTATGGTGTTACAGTGACATATGTATAATAATATGAGATATTACGAAAATACCACAAAGCACATGCAGAGGCAGTACAGTGATTGTATCTGTGTGAGTGATTACTTTGCGATATTCTCATGATACTCTTAATATTAACTAGTCACTGCATAGCATAGTAGACACAAATTTAAATCCTACCTGGGGTTGAACAGATATTAAAGTATGCCACAGACTCAATGGGAAGGCTAAATCTACTGGTCAAGATTCATTCACTAATGGATGTGACTTTAGGCAATCTTGGTCAAACTCTGCAGGTGCTTGTGGCCTACTTGATGCCAGGATATTGCATTACATTGTCATAATAGCATTATGATAGGAAGATGGTCGCACAGCCCTGTCATATTGCTCAAACATATATATGGTCTATGTGGAAGAATAGGCACTTGCACTTGCAATTTGAACGTAAAAAAAAGTCAGGAGAGACAACAAA